TGCCCAAATGTCCCTTTTCTTTTTATTTATTTTTTTTTTTTTTTTTTGTCATTTTCTTTTGGGTGAACTGACCCCTTTCAGTATTTCCTGTAGTGCAGGCCCTGAAGTAGAGAATTGCCTCAATTGTTGTATGTCTGGATAGGTCTTAATTTCTCCTTCATATCTAAAGGAGAGCTTAGCTGGTTACGTTATTCTAGGCTGGTAGTTCCTTTCACTTAATAGTTTAAATATTTGATTCCATTCCTTTCTGGCTTGTAAGGTTTGCACTGAGAAGTCAGAGGATAATCTAATGAGTTTACCTCTGTAAGCTACCCTTCTTTTCTCCCTGACTGCCCTGAGAATTCTGTCTTTGTCATTGTTTTTTGATAATTTTAATACCATGTGTCTTGGTGAAGGCCTTTTTGGGTTGGGATAATTGGGTGTTCCGTTGACTTCTTCAATTCCAAGCTCCAGCTCATTCCTTAGATTTGGGAAAGTCTCGTCAACTGTTTGTCTGAAAATGCTTTATAGACTCTGGGTGGGGGGACCTTCAATAATGCCCATTATTCTTATGTTTCCTCTCCTATGGTATCAGCTGGTTCTTGAATTTCTCTTTCATTATTTTTCATTCTTCGGTTTCTCTCTTCTTCCTTCTGATTCATTTCTAGATTTCTGTCTTCGATATCACTGATCCTTTCCTCCATTTGGTCGACTCTATTTCTCAAGCTTGCGGTGTGTGTGTGTGTGTGTGTGTGTGTTTTATCTCCAGAAGATTTATACTCTTCTTTTTGAGGGTTTCAGTCTCCTTGTTCTGCTCATCTAGTTGTTTTTTCAGTTCCTGAAATTGCTGATATGACTCACTTCGGATCTCACTGAGTCTTTTCAGAAGTACCATCTTGAATTTTCTGTCATTTAAGTTGCATATTTCTATATCTGTAAGCTTATTTTCTGGAGATTTTTCTCTTTCTGAGATGCCTTGTCATCTTGCTTGTTCATGGTGTTTAGTGGACTATTGCTCCGCCTGGGCGGACATTAATGAAATTGTATTCTGCTGTTTTTCCAGAAAGAAGATTTATTATATAAAGGTCTGTCTTTAGCCTGTTGCAAAGAAGACACTTTTCTTTTGGTTTCCAGTAGGTGGCGTCTAAGCCTCTTGTATCCCTGCATTATATAGTCTTAATAACGCTTTTTAAATTTTCTTGTGGATATTTAATCATGGTCCTACCCTCAGGTTGAGTCCCTGTTCTTGTTAGCAACAGTTTTGGTTGCATTTGCTTAGAGTCCCCTGGAGCTCCGCGGTGTTTGGTCTTGGAGGGTATGTGGGGAGGGGCCCTCCGGGTTGGGAGTTGCGGGCTGTGGCTCAGCCTTGGTTGCACAGCCAGAAAAATCTGCCGTTGTTCCTCTCTGGTCCCATCCGGCTTCTCTGCTTTTTGCCCTGATGACTGAGCCCTGCAGCCAACCAGCCACATGGAGATTACAACTCTCCCAAGAAGGGGCTGTTCAGGGAAATTGCCGCACCTTATCCCCTCTCCCTTCTCCTACAGGAAGCTCTGGTGGCTGCGAGAAGTAGCCTCTTTATTTCTTCTGGTCCACCGACTGGCACTCAGGTATTCTGACTGTGTTAGCTCTTATGTGCAGATCCCACGCACAGATGTGCTAGTGTGCAGTTTGGGTGATTTTTGTTGAATTTTAGATATTCAGCTTATTGTTGTTTCAAGGGGAGAGATCTGGGGACGTCTCTCATTCTGCCATGTTTCCAAAGATCCTTATAATGCAGTATTGATAAGACTGACTTTTCTTTTGATATTAGAAAAGCACAATGAAAACATGTACTTTAAAAATATATGTATATCTCAGTTGCAGACACAGACCTTTCATTTTGGCCATCAAGAGTTTTCTTGCCCCAACTTTCTAATCTTTCATTCTCTTCACGTATATACCCTTAGTTCGATGTGAGGACAGGAGTAAAATCTGATCAGTCTTGCTAATTTCTCTAGAAGTTGGACCGTACAAAAAAATTAACTCAGAATAGATTAAATAAGAGGAGAAACTATAAAACTCTTAGAGAAATCATAGGAGAAAAATCTTCTTGACCTTGAATTAGGTGATTTTTTCTTAACCGTGACACCAAAAACACATGACAAAAGAAAAAAATAAGCAAATTAGACTACATCAAAATTAAAAACTTTTGTAGTACAAATGAGACCATAGTAGCCAATTTAGAATCTTTGTATTTCTCTGTTGTCAGTTTTAGCGTCTCTTCTTTCATTTCTAACTTATTTGAATCCTCTCTCATATTTTTCTTGGTAAATCTAGCCAAACGTTCATCAATTAAAAATAAATAAATAAATAAAACCTCTTAGTTTTATTGATTGCTCATTTCTTTTTATTCGTGAAAAGTATTCCATGTTCTGGATATACCTCAATGTTTATCCATTTACCTGATGAAAGATGCCTTCCTTGGTTGCTTCCAGTTTGGGGCAATTATGAATAAAGCTGCTATAAACATTCGTGTGGGTGTTTTGTGTGGACATAACTTTTTAACTCATTTGGTAACATATGTGGGAGCGCAATCGCTGAATCATGTGGTAAGACTATATTTAGCTTTGTGAGAAACTGCCAAACCATCTTCCAAAGTGGCTATACCGTTTTTGTGTTCCCACTACCAATGAATGAGAGTTCTTGTTGTTCCACATCGTCAGTAGCACTTGCTGTTTTCATTGTTTTGAATTTTAGCCATTTTAATTGATGTGCAATGGTATCTCATTTTAATTTGCAATCCCCTAAGGATATATCATGTTGAGCATCTTTTCATATTATTGTCATTTTATAACTTAATGAGGTCTCTAAGTAGATCTTTTCCTACTTTTTAACTGGGTCTTTTATTTTTTTTAAGTGTAGTTTATTTAACTCGTGGAATATATTTATAATAGCTGCTTTACATTTTTAGTTTGTAAAATCAAAGAACTGGGCCTCCTCAAGGACGTTTTTTTGTTGGTTGCTTTTTAGTTTATACTTCTTTTTATTTTTAAGCCTGGCTTCCTTGGATCACCCACTGAGTCAGTAGAAATTAGTGGTCAGCCATTTATGGGTCAGATTTCCTTAAATGCTTTGAACCATTAAGTTTTCACCTTGCCATGGGGATCTTTGTGTGAAGATATACCCCAAACTTCCTGCAATTTATAAATCAGCCTTAGTGTTCATTTTTTATTTCTCAAGTCAGCCAGAGCTGAGTGACTGGGGCTTTCTCCTCTCCCATTTCTTTCCTCAATAGGTTCATAGCCCTGCACATCCATGCATATATTTAGATCCCCAAGAATATGTTGGAAACTTCAAAGTTCCTTATGGTCATCTGGTTATCCAGGTCTTTCTTTTACATTTTTAGCCTTAGTCCGCTGTGATGTTACCAGCAGATTGTTACCATTTTCTCAAATGCCATGAGGAAGGGGCTTTTTTTTTTTTTTTTCACAGAGCTGAGCTCCGAATCCAATAAAATGATAACAACATCCTGGGAATGGAGAATGAGAATGCTGTTTGGTCAGAATATTGACTGTGTCCTGGGAATGGGGCTTTTAATGAAGTTCCAAAGGTTTCTTGGCTGTGATAATGCTGGCTTGGGACAGTGGCAGATGGGAATAGCCTCAAAGTAAAACTTCACAACACTAGTGTTCTTATTGAGGTTCATTAGTTTTGCTTGAATTGATGATTTTCAGTTCTGTGCCTTTGGTTAATTTCCCATGTTCTGAACTGTTTTTCTTTTTAAATATTTTTCCAGTATTTTGTTGCTTTTGTAGCAAAGTGGCTTCACTAAGGTTCTGAGTTTCCTGTTGCAGACATTTGACATCTCTAATTTTGATAGAAAAACAATGTCTCCCTGAAACATCGATTTAATATTTACTGTGCATATAAATTGTGGTTTATAAATGATAGAAAAAAACATTAGCACTTTTTTTCTTCTTGCAGAAACTTTTAAGCATTAATTTGGGACAATTATATTCTTTCTTTTTCAGGTTCCTATTAGTTCTGATTCCTCAGACCCATCTGATAATATTAAGGAACGATATTTGACATGTCAGAGAGAATGCAGTAAAACTCTGAACACTGAAGCCTTAATGACAGTATTTCACCCTCAGAATTTGGAGACTCTTAATTCAAAAATGGTAGGGAAACAAAATATTTAAATCTATGGACTAAAACAATTGATCAAAAATAAAAAATCTTAGAGCAGACTAGAAGGTACCATATCTGAACACTTTTTTGGGGGGACTAGAAAAGGTTTTCCATCAGGTACTACTGTATGACTTGTTTGGTTCCATTACACAAAAGGAATATTATCATGAGTTAAGATAAAAGGTGAAAGTTGAACATTGGGTTTTATTTGCATAACTTTCTAATCTTAATTGAGGTGATTTAGGGGAGAATGTTGGTTCAAAGCTTTACCTCCAAAATGTAATGCTTTTTTGTTTTTATGTGAGTTAAGCTAAGAATTAAAATAGTAAATTAAAGCTATTATATTCACATGGATTTAAAAGCTTATTGTGATGACAGTGGTCCAGTGTTTGGCCCCTCTGTGAATGTTGATTTTGAGTTTCTATGTTCTTGATTTACATTTGTATTGTTTCATGGTAAAGAGAGTTATTAGTTATTTGAAAGAAGTTAATTTCTTATTATGTTTAGTTGCTTTGATTTTTGTTTTGTCGTTATAGTTGAAAGAAAAGATGAAGGAACAGTCATGGAATATCCTATTTGCAGAATGTGGGCGTGGTGTTAGCATGTTTCGGACCAAAAGGTCTCGAGATCTGGTTATAAGAGGGATTCCAGAGACTTTAAGAGGAGAGCTCTGGATGCTTTTTTCAGGTATTACATTTATTCACTTTGTTTAACAGACATTAATTATGCCCCTTCTAGGCATTATGTACCAAACTAAATAAAAATAATTACAAAGGTGACTAGGACAAAGTCTTATTAATCATGAGTCCAGACTAATCAAAGAGGTACACTGGTTATTTGTACTTACCTATATAGTCACACATCTGTCCGGGCAGATTAGCTGTTAGACAAGATATAGCTAACTCGGTGTGGGGGCGGGGAGTTCTCGATCCCTAGTGTCAAAAGAAAGTTAAGGAGAAAAAACAGTTTATGAAAATGTTACTCTGTTGGCTTTTAATTTTGTTTATTCTCAGATATCACTTGAGCATAAAACTGAAGTTAAAGATATTACAGTTCTTCATGTATATACACAAATAGTAGCTTTATTATATTTCTTTTGTATGTTAATCATCTTTACAGGTGCTGTTAATGACATGGCTGTTAATCCTGGCTATTATGCTGAAGTGGTTGAACAATCTGTAGGGACCTGCAACTTGGCTACTGAAGAAATTGAACGTGATTTACGTCGCTCCCTGCCTGAGCACCCAGCCTTTCAGAGTGACACTGGCATATCTGCTCTGAGGCGGGTACTCACTGCTTATGCATACAGGAATCCCAAAATTGGATACTGCCAGGTATGACTTAATTATGAGTCAAAGTGTATACATGTTCCAAGTGATAAAATCCCATCAAATCCAACTCTACTCATTTGAAAATTGATAATAAGGACAGAGATTGGGTGGCGATTGATAGTGAATATTATTAATCTAAGCAGAATAGTGGTGGAGAAACTTAGAACTGATATTTCATTAATTCATTTTTCTTTTATATCTAACAAATGTTTATTGAATTCCTGCTCTGTAAAAGATATTGTGCTAGTTGCTGAAGACTGCATAAAGATGAATCAGATAAGGATCTTGCCTTTAAAAGTATATAGACTAATAGGTATTAAAACATATTCATTGGCACGTGAGACAGATTATTAGAGAGTTATAAAGTCCCATCAGGATTTTTAATAGGGATAAATTATTTTCATCTAGAAGAATCGGAGAAGGCTTCATGGAAGAGGTAGTATTTGTAGGTCTTGGAAATTGGTGAATTTTGTGTGTGGAGATAGAATGAAAGAACATGCTAGGCAAAGGGATCAGTGTAACCAAACACAGATAGAGGTAAATGTAGAATGTATAGAGGACCATGTTCTGTTTAGTGGAAGTGTATGGTGAATGAAGTGAAGTAGTTGGAGAAAAGAAATCAGTAAAGTAGAGTTTGAATTTTATTTTGTAGGCAGTAGTGGAATCATTGAAAAAATCCTTTAGGAACATACTATATTAATTAGGTATGCTAGACTGCTAACACTAATAATCTCAAAGAAGTAGTAGCTAAAAACATAAAAGTTTACTTCAAGGAATAAACAGAGGAGAGTGAGTAAGTCAGTAGGCAGCTGTCCTTCATGAGTTTATTCAGAGACTTAGGCTGACAGCAGACTCTGTCATCTTCAAAATATGGCTTCAAAACAGGTGCTCTTTCATTGCCATTACTAAGAGGAAGGAAAAGAGAGTATGGAGAAACAGTTGTGTGAGATTTTATCAGCTAGGCCTAGAAGGTGCACACATCATTTCACCTGCATGCTATTGGAGGGTCTTTGTCTCATGGATATTTATTCACACAGAAGTCTGCAAAATGTTGTGTGGCTGAGCACACATATGTCTAGATATTATGGAAGAAGGGGAGATGGATTATGATGACTAGCTAGCACTTTCTGCCACAGATTAATTTATAATGGGTGGAGCCCCATAAGGATTATATATCAATCCTATTTATCCATTGAAACTTATCAATGTGGAACTTTTTTTGGAAAGCAGTTTAAGTGAATGGAAAAATAAATTACAATATTTATTTTTGTATTTTTCTGTGAATTTTAGGCAATGAACATTTTGACTTCAGTGTTGCTTCTGTATGCAAAAGAGGAAGAAGCTTTTTGGCTTCTGGTTGCTGTGTGTGAACGAATGTTGCCTGATTATTTTAATCATCGAATTATTGGTAAAAAAAAAAAAAAAAACACATAAACATATACAAACACATATTTCTTTTCCAAATAATGTGTATGCCTGTTGGTATACCTATCAAATGGAAGAACTTATCAGTTAGGTTTTAAAATATATAAAATGCAAGCAATATCAAAATGTTACATTCACTGACATACTCAAAGGAGAACTTTTTGTACTGGGCAGTGATTGGGAAGATTATTTAATATTTTGCTTTTTAAAAAAATAAAGTACCTGGTCTGTCTCTTAATAAAAGAAGTTTACTATCTTCATATTGCTAAAACAATGGTAATCTGAAGCATTGTGAGCTACTGGAAAATTTTTAGTAATTTCTTGTGGAGCGAGTTATTTTAATCAGATTAAATGATTATATCAATTCACATTTCTGTGAATTATATAGATATTTGCAAGGTTTGAAAGAAGGATCAAGTTCTTGGTTTCTTAATTGTGTAATATTTTCTTCAGTCATCAAATGTTTACACTATAGTCCCCTACTTTAAAACCATAGGTGGTCTCTTCTTTGTACCCCCACAAGCCTTCAGTATCATGGTTAAGTCATTGATTCTATTGTCTTTCATTGTAGTTATCTGTGTTTTTATTTTAAATTCTACTAGATATTATGGTTTTTGAAGATGAGACCATTTCGTTAATTGATGTCTCTCTTATATCACCTATTACAGATTTTTACATATAATAATTCAATAAATAATTGTTCAAACGAATTTAAATTGAGTTTCTCAAGTGCTTCTTCATGCAAGACACTGCTAGCAGATAAGGAGATATGTGAAATATAGAAAAGGCACTGAAGAAGTTCATAATTTAAAGAAGAGAAATTAGATATATCAGTATACTAATAGAAGTGGGAAATATCAGAAACAAGTCCTTTTGAAAGGTGTCCATTTTTAAACTTCTTTTTATGTTCTCCAGGTGCCTTGGTAGATCAGGCCGTCTTTGAAGAACTTATCAGGGATCATCTTCCCCAGCTGACAGAACACATAACCGATATGACATTCTTTTCCTCAGTTTCTCTTTCCTGGTTCCTCACACTTTTTATTAGTGTGCTACCTATTGAAAGTGCAGTGAATGTGGTAGATTGTTTCTTCTATGACGGAATAAAGGCCATTTTACAACTGGGATTGGCAATACTTGACTATAATTTAGACAAACTACTGGCATGTAAAGATGATGCCGAAGCTGTAACAGCTTTAAACAGGTACTATAAGAACCACGATATTTAAATCTTGAGAGCCCCTTGGAGTTATGTTGTTCAGTCTCCTTATTTTCCAGATGAGGAAACGAAGCCCTAGAAACTTGAAACAATTGGCTTAAGGTCACAAAACTAGTTGAATGGAAAAGCTAGGTCTAAAGTCCACTCCTCTGTTTTCAAATAGAATATAACAAAGTAAATCACTTTGAAGTAAGCCACTAATATTGTTGATTCATTATGCCGGAACTTTCATAGTCCCAGTTTGAGCTATTAAGTGTCACTGTATAAAAGTAATTTGAAGGGGTAAAGGTAATTGATAATGTTAAATATCCAGTGGGGGAAATTGTTCTGGTTTCTAAGCATTTTCAATCAGGTAGGCTGAGCTTTATTTTCTTTGAATGCTGCTTTGTATTGGAGCACATGTGGTGTATCTGTGTGTATACACACAATGTATGCATATGTTAAATGAATGAGTGTTGTAAATGGTGCATCAGATTCCATTATGTACAGAGTAAAATATGATTGCCTCACTCTAGCATTTAGAATTCACTATGTGAAGGCCTCAATGTACCTATTTTTAACTTATTTCTCCTTACATGCCTCTAACATACCCCATATTCTATCTTGACTGGGCTATCTGGTATTTGCTGAGTACTCTCTGAATATGTTTGCTTCTATCACACTCTCCTCTCTGCCTCAAATAATTTCTTCATCTCATTCACCACTTCTGTATTTTCCTAATTCCATACCATCTTCAAATTCCACTTCTTTGTAATGCTAACTCTTGTCCTCTCAGTTGAAATTAACCTCTAACTAGGGAGAAATTAGCTGTCATTTTCTCCTATTTTACTTCTACTAATTCTTATATTACTTTCGCTTTTCGGCAGGTTCTTTGACAGTGTCACTAATAAGGATAGCCCATTGCCTTCAACTCTTCAGCAGGGTTCAAATGTGAGTGATGAAAAAAGCAGTCATATTAGAGTGGATATTACAGATTTAATTAGAGAGTCAAATGAGGTAAGTTTTTTAATACCATAAATATAATTACATAACATTTAAAATGATCACTATACTATAGTTATATCTTTAGTAGTATATTAAGAGTAAGATAATAATACAAGTAAAGATGTAATTTAAAATACGACTTCACTTTAAAAACGAGTGTTGTGAACTATTCCTAAGTTATATAGCCTCCTCTGCTTCCATTAAATAAAACTATATTCATTTATTTTCACAAATAATGACCACATTTAAATATCACTGTATAAAAAAAGTGAAAATTATTCTTTTCTTGGAGTCTAAAAATTTTACTAACGTTCTTGAAGTTAGTCTAGACACATAGTAAATGGTATTCTCTTCAGTGAATATGTAGAAAAACGTGGAAAGTAAAATTTTGCATAATCGCTGAACAAGTTAAGAAAATAGCTACAAGTGGAACCAAGGCCTCTGAGAATTGAGTCTCATGAAATTCACTTGTAAGAGAAGTAAATATTATGAATGAGTATCTACTGAAATCATATTTCTTGCAGAAATATGGTAGTATTCATTGTGAAGATATACACAGCATGCGCTGTCGAAGTAGATTGTATGTGATACAGACCCTAGAGGAAACAACAAAGCAGAATGTGGTGAGTATCCACCCAAAGGAGAAAAACTAATTGGTATAATATTTTTTCAGCTTCCTTTAAAAAATTGTTCTATGTAAAGAAAATAAAAATAACTAAACTTTTGAGCTAGATTTTTGCCACAGCTTAGCTTACTATAACTTTTTGAGAGGAAATAAGTTATTTTATTCTAATTAAATTATGCTGGTTTCTCCAACAGGTTTTGTGTTACTTGACCTTCGATAGTGACTGCTATGATATAGACATTTAAGCATAACATATTTATGATGTGATTTATCATTAAGAACAGCTGACCTACATAATAGTCAAAGCCACTAATACATATTACTATCCTGGGGTACCTAAGATAAAGTGAAAAAGCTATAAAACAATGTGTTTTTAGTGTCTCCTTTTTATTTTATTTATTTACTTATTTTTTATTTTTATTTTTTACACCTATAGCACCTGGTCTTCCTAGGCGGTCTCCTATCCAAGTACTAACCAGGCCTGACCTTGCTTAGCTTCCAAGATCAGATGGGATCGGGCTTGTTCAGGGTAGTGTCTCCTTTTTAATATTTAGATGACTACATAAGAAGCTGTTAACATTGGTTTCCTCTGGTGAATGGAATTAATAGATTGCTAACCAGAAGAGGGGGAGTTTTACTTTGCTGTATATATCCTTCTGTGCTGTTTGAGTGTTCATCATTTGCATGTATTGTTTCTGTAAATCTACTTTTTAAAGGCTAAGTCCTTGGAGGTACAACTCTGAGAAGACGAACATTCCTGAAGATTCCATGTTTAGATTTCAATTAGATCAGTGAAGTTACTATGACATAATTAGCATAGAGCCCCTCTTGTTTTAGTTTTTATAAACTTTTCAGATAATACTGAAGTAATACATGCGCATTATAAATTATTCAAACATTCCAGAAATGTAAAAAAGTAAAGGTTCCCTACCCCAGAACCAGTATTAAAGTGACTCGGCATATATACTTATAGACCTTTTTTCTGTGTATCTATAGACATAAATGTTCATGGGGGGGGGTAATATAGTTTTTTTTTTAAATGAAATCATACCAGTCACCTTGTTCTGCAACTTACTTTTTTCACTCAAAAGTATATCATGATCATTACATGTCAGTACATACAGATCTACCTCAGTTTCCTTAATGTACTGAAGAGTATACCATAGTAGAGATATGCTATGCTTTATTTAACTATTCCTTGTAGATATACATTTAGTATTATTTTTTTGGCTCTTATAAGTAATACCTTATCCAAGCATCCTTGCCTATTTATTCGTACACATTTGTAGGAGTACTTCTGTAAGGTGGATTCCTGGAAGTGCAAGCTGGGTCAAAGGGTTTGCCCATTTAAAAATGACAGGTCTTGGGACTCTTTACAAGATGGTGTAGAAGGTAGAGGCTATGCACACCTCCTCTAGTGACCACACCAAAATTTCAACGAAACTACAGAGCAACCAGTACACAGAGTCTCCTGAGGTCTGCCTGAGCAGAAGCTCCACACCTAGGTCACCTCAAATAACAGGTTACCTCAAAATGGTAGGAGGGGTGGAGAGGCAAAATGGCCCAGTTCCACAACCGCGTGTGGCGATCTAGAATCAGGAGGGCTATCTTGGCTGCAGAGCCCCTTCCCCCACCTGAGGAGTGAGGAGTCCCAGCTGTACACTGGGCTCCCTAGATGAGGGTTCCAGTGCCAGGAAGAGAAGTCCCCACAACCTCTGACTGTGAAAACTAGTGGAGGTTGCAGCTGAGGGAGACAGAAGGCTGCAGGAGTCACAGACATTCCTCTTAAAGGGCCCATGCCCAGCCTTACTCACTGATGGACTCATTCACTCTGAGCTCTAGTGCTGGGGCAGCTGCCTGAGGGGTGCCAGGGACACAGGGAGGAACTGAATTGTTGGGCTGCAGGGCAAGGGCTGGAAGGGCGGCTTTCTCCAGGACAGAGGTTCTGGCAAAAGCCATTGTTCCTTTGTTGAGCCCTCCCCTCTCCTAGCCTGTAGACATAGGTGCCATTAACCTGGATAACACAGGTCGCTCCACTCAGGGGATTCCCTGAGACTCCGCCTCTCCCAACTTGTTTGCCCACCCAAGCCACTTCCAGTGATTTATTCCATACAAATGGGCTGTCTTGGCTCCTGCTGCGAACTTTCATAAACTCTCTCAAAGGCTCACAAAACCCAAAGCAGCAGTATCTGGCCTTGGCGTGCCCTGCACCTCTTGTTGAGCAGCCCCAAGCCCTTCACTAGTGACAGCTGGCCTTGATTTCTGACTTGGCCACTCAAGGCACCTATAAGCAAGGCCAGCATGGTGGCAGCAATCTGCGGATTGCGTGGTGACTCTTCCCTGGTGGCCTTGGGGATGCACAGGCTGTGGCTGAACTTGGCCTGCAGCTAGACCCCTCCCAGGGTTGTCCCACTGGGCCCCACAGCACACATACTTCATGAAGCTACTCTACTGAGACCAGAAGTCTTAGGAGCTCTACTTAATACATAGAAACAGGCATAGGAAGGCAGCCAAAATGGGGAGACAAATGGAAAGAAGTATGTCCCACAGGAAAGAACAAAGCTCCGGGAAAAGAATTCACCAAAATGGAGATAAGGAATATAACAGATGCAGAGTTCAAAACATTGTTTATAAGAACGATCAAGGAACTTAGGGGAAGGGTAGATGAACTCAGTGAGGACTTTAACAAAGAGATAAAAAAAAATGGAGATGGAAAACATAACAGGGGACCAGTCAGAAATGAAGAATACAAATCTGAGATGAAGAGTATATTAGAGGGAATCAACAGAGGGGATGAAATGAATGATCAAATCAGTGACATACAGGATGGGGTAGCAGACACCCAATCAGAAAAGCAACAAGAAAAAAGAAGCCAAAAAAATGAAGAGAGTTTAAGAAGCCTCTAGAACAACTTAAGGTGTAACAACATTTGAATCATAGGGTGCCAGAAGGGGAAGAGATAGAGCAAGGAATTGAAAACCTGTTTGAAGAAATGATGGAAAGCTTCCCTAACCTGGTGAAGTAAATAGAACTACAACTCCAGGAAGCACAGAGAGTCCCAAACAAGATGAACCCAAAGAGGCCCACACCAAGACACATCATCATGAAAATGCCAAAGGTTAAAGACAAAGAGAGAATCTTAAAAGCAGCAAGAGAAAAGCAATTAGTTACATACAAGGGAGTGCCCATAGGCTTGACACGAGATATTCAAAGTGATGAAAACCGAGGACCTACAACCAAGATTGCCCAGTAAAGCTATCATTTAGAATTGAAGGAAAGATAAAGAGCTTCTCAGACAAGAAAAAGCTAAGAGAGTTCATCACCACCAAGCCAGTATTACAGGAAATGTTGGAGGGACTTCTTTAAAAAAAAAGAAAAAAAAATCTATCAAAAGTCTAAGTAAAGAATGGCAATAACTACATATCTATCAACAAGTACTTCAAATGAAAAAGAATGAAATACTCCAATCAAAAGATAGGGTAACTGAGTAGATAAGAAAACAAGACTCTTCCAAATGCTGACTATAAGAAACTCACTTTAGGTCTAAAGACACACACAGACTGAAAGTAAAGGGATGGAAAAAGATATTTCATGATGGACCTAGAGGGTAGTGTGCTGAGTGGAGTAAGTCAGATAGAGGAAGACAAGTGCCATATGATTGCACTTATGTGTGGAATCTAAAGAACAAAGCAAACAAAAAACAAATGTATAGATACAGAGAACATTTTAAGGGTTATCAGAAGGGAGGGGGTTTGGGGGACCAGTGAAAAAGGGGGACAGGTTTAAGAAGTACAAATTGGTAGTTACAAAATAGTCATGGAGGTAGAAAGTATAGGTTAAAGAATATAGCCAATAATATTGTAATAACTATGTACGGTGTCAGAGGGGCACTAAATATATCAGGATGATCACTTTGTGAGTTATATAGATGTCTAATCACTATGTTGTACACCTGAAACTAATATAATATTGTATGACAACTATAACTGAAAATTTTTTTTTAAATATTTTAAAAATGCTTAAAAAATAAAAATTTTTTTTGAATTTAAAAAATGTCAGGTCCTGTCAAATTATCTTCTAAAAGATTCATACCAAATTATAATCCCACAGTGTATAAGAATTCCCTTTTCCCCACACTTCCACTAGCATTAGATATTTAAAATCTTTAACTTGCACCAATTTGATAGATAAAAAATCAAATCATACTTTTTATTTCACTGATCATGTTTATTAGCCTTTTTCATTTCTTAATTGCCTGTTTGTAGCCTTTGCCCATTTTTTTGGTGAGGTTGTTTGTCTTTTATTGATTTGTAGGAGTGATATTAATTCTTTATAAGTTATATTTGTGGCTAGTATTTCCCCTTCATCATTTTCCAATTTTCTTTAGAGTGTATTCAGAATATGTTTGTTTTTTTTTTCAAAATCATATGCATTTATTTATTATTATTTTTTTTTATGGTGACATTGGTTAACGAAATCCAATAAGTTTCAGCCATACACTTTAACAGTAGGGCATATATATATGTTTACACTGTGTGTTCACCTCCCATAGTTAGATTTTTTCTGTCACCACATATTTGACCCCCTTTACCCTGTCTACCTTTCCCCTCTCCCCACCCCTTCCTGCTCCCCTCTGGTAACCACTAGTCTATTGTCCATGACCATGAGTCTCTTTTTGTCCTGTTCATTTGTTGTTTTTAGGTTTATATCCCACATATAAGTGATACCATGTGATTTTCAACTTTTTCTATCTGACTTATTTCACTTAGCATGAATATTTACATTTTTTAATACACCTAAAGTATATATTTCATTTGTAGTGTGAGATAGGACTCTAATGGTATTTTTTTTCAACTGAAACAGCCCATTGTTTGAATACCATTTATTAAATAGTCCATCCTTACTGTACTCTGCCCTTTTCATATGCTAAATACTTATATACATACATGAATTTATTTCTGGAGTCTCTTTTTTCAGCAACACCACCACACTGTTTTAATTACTGTGGCTTTATAGTCCATTTTGAAATCTGGTAAGGCTTTTGAAAAGTTTCTAACATCCATTTTAATGATGTATTTTTAAATATACTTTAGTAAGTATTTATAGTTTATATCATATGGGTCTTATACATTTCTTGCTGGGTTTATCTACTCCTATGCATTTGATGATTTTGTTGTTAATATGAATTAAATCATTTTTTTCCTTTACATTTTCTAATTTAAAAAAATATTTTAGTTTCAAGTATACAGTACATTGGTTAGAATCTATATAATTTATAAAACAATCCTCCCAATTACTCCCTCCCTCCCGTGACCCTCCACCTAGCCAGCATATTAATGCTAACTGCATTCCCTATACTGTGCTCCTCATCCCCGTGACCATCCATCAGCTACTAATTTGTACATCTTTAACCCTTCACCTCATTCCCCCATCTCCCAAGCCCCCCTCTCCTCTTTCCATCACCAAATTGTCCACTATAATTGTGAGTCTGTTTTTGATTAGTTTGTTCTTTTTATTCCTTAGATTCCGCATATAAGAGAAATCATATAGTGTTTCTTTCTCTGTCTGACTTAAATACCTTCTAGGTCCATCAATGTAATATCTTTTTCCATCCCCTTTTAGTCTGTGTGTGTCTTTTAATCTGAAGTGAGTCTCTTATAGGCAACATGTAGAGATCTTATTTTCCTTTCCATTTATCCACTATATCTTTTAGTTGGAGCACTTAATTCTTTTCCATTTGAGGTACTTATTGATAGGAATGTAGCTGTTACCATTCTTTATTCCTGTTTTTGATACATGTTTTTTATTCTTAAAGAAGTTCCTCCAACCTTTCCTGTAATTTTGGCTTGGCGGTGATAAATTATTTTATTTTTGTCTGAGAAGCTCTTTATTTGTCCTTAAACACTAAATCATAGCTTTGCTGGCTAAAGTA